CGCTGGCATTGGCCCGACACGGCAGATGTCGTTGTACACGTCGTTGTATAGCTGCTGTGAGAAGATAACAATACTTTACTGCAGCATAGCTTTTTGGGGGAAAGGAATTGAATTCATAGTTAAATTCCCACGAGCTGCTGTAACAACATCAATAGCTACTTTCCTCCAGATAAAAAAAAAAAAAAAATCACATAACATCTGCCATCCACTGCCAGACCGAAAAACAGCATGTATAGCGCTAATATTTTACATAATGTTTTCACATCTTGTTAAATAATATCAAAAATAAAAGCAACTCACCCGCTTTACTTAATTAAATCACCCTGTACACCTATCACGAAAAAACATTAAAATAACATAAAAAAACATAAAACTATTTCTGTAGTAAATAATACAATCTCAACATTATATTGAACACATCCCATATTTAAGTCCACATAAGGGGCGTGAATGTTAACTCGTTTTGAACCAGCCACCATTTAGTCTTTTAATATTAATGACTAACTGTTTTACAAATGGCTATACTTTTACTAATTTTCTGGTTCTTCACCTAACAACAAACAAGAGTATTCACAGTAAAAGGATCCGGCACGAGAGTCTTATTTAAGATTTGAAGGACTGAATATACTTGAAATAGAATTAAGCATGAATGAAAATGCAGCTCAAGATTGAGAAAACCACAATACTGGAGTAAATATCTATATGAGAAAGGCTGTCATTTTTCATGTGAGAACAGGATTCCAGTACTAATCACCTTAAAGTTAATAAGCAAAGGAGCAAGGATTGACTAGCCAAGCTGTATGGGGGCGTTTCCAGAAGCAAATCAAAACACATTTCTCTCAGTTCAGCGCTCTGTCATTTAATAATGGAGCATAAGGTGAATGGGAACTTACAGCCATTTCACACTGCAACCCAAGTTATGTGTTGGATTAGTGCCGGCCCTTGAGCGAAATCCTGAGTCGCTCGCTTTTATACAGCTGTGGCCACTGCATTATTCACAAAGCTGTCATGGCCAGACAGAGAGGCAACACTTGAGGTCATGCTCCTCCCTAAGTCCTATGTGGCATTTGACGTTTTTCATGTCATTTTGAGGGTTGCATTATTCACACGATGAAATGACACACACTGCCATGCTGACGTAGTTAAACTGCTTTTAGCTCCCATCTTTCCCAGATTTTCTATCATGCAGGATTGTAAACTTTTTCAATGGCCAATGCAAGGGTAATATAAAATAGAATATAAAGGATGACCTTCACTGTCTGTCCGCTCCAACTGCCACTACACATTTCGTTTTAGTACGTTGTAACTCAGCCTGCTTACGAATACACCAAGAAGCTGAGTTAGGCGTTCAAGACCTTTCATACAGCTTTGGGAAGCACAAGTAAATGTGATAGACGTAACAAAACGTCAAGTTTATATTTTAAAGCCGGCAAAATTTGAAAAGCAGGACTTTGATCCTAAAGAAGCAACTAACAGGAAGTGGTTTGAGGGCCTAGCTGGAATTGTTCACTCCAAAAGAAAAATAGATTTCATAGATATGGATAAAAAAAAAAGTTTTTCATCTAAGAAAGAAAAATTCAGTACACTTGGTGGAATAACAAACCATGAACCTCCAGTTATTGTAGTTTGTGTTTGATTAACTTGTAGTCCAGAAGCCCAAGTTGGTTATTCTTTCAGATTTGACAAAGACATCATACAAGTGCTTAGGCATGCTGAGTCGCACTACCACACCATGTGTAATAATGCAACGGTCAAAATGAGGAATTCCTCATTGACAAACCTTTTTGGGGGATGAGCGAAAAAGCATATTTCATTAACAAAATATAACAGACTTTATTAGTAAAAGTATTAACCTTGTTAAGTTGTACTCCTGCTGGTGCTTCACAAACATCTAACTAACTGAAAACAAAAGTGACCAAGTTATGGAGCTACTCTACCAGTTCTCCCTGTGTAGCTTTATCATTTGTCCTTCCGCTCAGTTTTTCTTTTCGAGGTTTAACTTGTAGATTTGCTCTTAGCATGAAATGAGCACAACCTCTTAACCGCCGGTTTGTGGTGACGGCAATTAAAAGCAATCAAATAATGTGCCGCTAGTTTCGCTTGACTCGTAGTGGCTGAGACATAAGTTACCTCAGCAACCACACAGGCAACAAATAGTTGTGTGTGTGTGTGTGTGTGTGTGTGTGTGCAAAAGAGAGGGAGATACTGGAGCCTTTATTCCACCATTGCTGTGACCCAGAACTCTGCTACACTTATAGACCAGACCTCCATAATACCTGGTGTGTCTCTCTTTATTGCATAGAAAGACACAACCACATACACACACACACGCCCTGTGGGTGGGGCTCAGCCTTATAATTCCATTTCTTGTCTCGTCACCTCCAGTGTTGATAAATAGGTACGGCCTACAGCGGCTGACACCTGAATAATATATAGCCCACACACACACACACACACACACACACACACACACGCATATAGGTCATGCACACATCCAGAGCTACAGCACACACAAAGGACACACACAAACCTGCAGGGAAACACAAGCGTCGAGAGAATCCAGGTGTCCACACATATACAAAGACATGAACGAGCTCTTAGATGTGTGGTGGATTGCGGGCAGAGGGCACGGGGTTGGTGATGGAGGGCAGCGGACCCCTAGAGGTCGCCAGCACCGTGAATCTGATTACTCAACACGTTTAAAGCTTCAGAAAACAGTAGCCTACTTAACAGACACAGCGCCGGGCCTTTGGCTGCAGCTTGACTACTAGCAGATGTCTGTGGACAGTTTTGTAATTGAATCTCACTTTTGTACAATATCCTCCAAATATATGAATGTGTGTAAAAAAAAATTCTTCCTCTTAAACCAGGACATGGCATTATGTCCAGCAAGACTCCTGCATGTTTGTTTTCTTCCACCTGAGTGTGTGTGTTTGTGTCACACGGTGGATAAGTGGGTCCTTGGGTGGCCTTGTTCACGATAACATCCCTCAGAACACTCTGTCTTTGTTCTCTTTTTATCGCAGTTTTTCTACAAGCCGTTCCCTCGTCTTTTCCCCAGTACAATGTGAGCTCAAATTAGTTAAGGAATCAGGGCTGACGCGTGATCCTCTTAACGTTGGCACGGCTAAAACCCTCCCTGCTGGTTTTCAACCTGAACAGCCACACAGCGGCTTTATTCCGAATTCTAAAGGCTGATACCTCGTTTCCTGTCATGGTGAAGACGGACCCGACTGATAATTACCATACTAGCGTTCTGACAATGGAGACGCCGTCCATCTTATTTAAATCGTTCCATAAAGCACCATCCCACGCGTAGGTTGACAATGATCATAGCCGAAACACGAGTAGAGCAGAGAGCTGCAGGTGCGTCCCCCCCCCCGAAGATCATCATTTTTAATCTGACATTAAACATGTCCTATTGTGATGCTGGCAGGTCCTTCACTCACCGTCCATATGGAGTCTTGTTTTCAACAATGAGAGATGTGTCGTACACAGCCAGGGGACCAGAGTGCTGCTCGAGGTCGATATATTTGGATCAATTGTTGACTCTCGTCTCCTCTCTTGTGTGTTTGTCCTTTCTGTCTGTGTCGTGTCTTATCTTCCCCTCCTTCCTCTGCCTCCTCAGCTGCGACACATCTATATTTTCACACCCCCAACTCCTTTTCCAAATGTCTTTTTCTCACCTCGTACCCCCCTCATCACTTCTCTCCTCAGTGCCTTCTCCTTTGTCGGCCTTCATTCACGTCATTCACCATCTTCTCATAGGCTCTTTAATCCCACTCTACCTCGTTCCTTTTCATTCTCAAGTTGAAATTGAAATTGCGGCAGCGTCCCAAGTTGCCTCATCTCTTCTGCTCCGTGTCGCTTTCTTCTGTGGGTGTATTCTCTCAACTTCAGTTTTCTACAACATATTCAATCTTAAACCGAACCATTTTATTAATACTAAACATGTCCACATGAGGGTTATCAGATATTGATTAGATAGGAATCGACGGAGACAGAACGATAAGGGACAGAAGCAGGTTTAGTTTTCACGGTTCATTTTGAATGAGAAGGATGCAAACAACATTAAAGTCATTTTTACCTTTTTTTTAAATTAAAATTGGTTGGATTTTTAGTCAATATTAACCTCTTCAAGTAGTGGAGTAATGCCACTCATGTCATGCTCATAACAGAAGATCAATCAAACGTGGCGCCCTTGAAATAGACTTGGAACATTAGTAAAAAACGTAAGCGATTTGGCAAAAGTGCACATAGGGTGCAGGTTGGCAGGTGTCAGAGTTCCAGGCTCCTCTGCCTGAGAGGCACGGTTGTCTGAACGTGGCTGCGAGCACAAGTAACACTCAAAAGTTGTTCTGAAAGTTTGGACAACAGCAGAGGGAAAATTCCATCCCGCACAACAATAGAATAGGTCTTTTCCACGATTTGGTACTCGTGAAGTTATTGCACGGCTCAAGGACTGAATTGCTTGGGCATTTGTAGGAGACGTGTTTCTCAGTGCCTCCGTCGGTCGCGTTCCGTGCACAGCGGCAGGGCTCTCCGCCCTCCTCCCCCGGCTCGGAATAATTGCAGTAGTCACAAAGAGAAAACATAGACTTCTGCTCCTGTAGTTAAGCTCCATGGCTGTAATTACTGGAACATTAATAATGTACTCTCAGGACAGAACAAGAAAAACGTGCACGAGATAAGTGCTACGAGGAATTCATCGGACCTCTGCAGTCTGTGCTTCCTCGGCTGCAGTCAGAGCAGACAAACCCCTCCGCCTCGACAGGAAACCTGCCCGCTCAGCGGGTGGCGGGTCCGAGCATGCGTGATTCATTTCCACCAGTTAAGAAACACTTATCTAAGCTATATGGTCCAATTGCAGATGGCTCCAGACTTCTTGACCATGACCTTTGTCTCCTACAGATGATGGCGTCCTCACGGCGTCGGTCACAGCGTCGTTGTTTTGTCACAAACCCGACCATCATGTTTTTGTGTGTGTTCCTCTCATTCAGGATGATCCCAGCCAACCACAAGTACTTCCTGCTGAGCGACCTAGCGTCATCGCGGGAGTACGAGCTGTGTGTCCTGGCCGTCTACGATGACGGCATCACCGCTCTGACCGGCACCAAGCTGGTGGGCTGCGTGTCCTTCTCCACGGAGACGGAGTACGGCCGCTGCCACTCCATACGAGACCAGGTAAGTGCGTTACTCACCGAGCAGCGACAAACAAATGTATTTTCCCAAACCTCCCAATTTGGTAATGGAGACAGTGTTCGATAGTGTCGTCCCTATTGTCGTGGTGCTTGAAGAGTCTTTCACACAGTGCTCAGCGGTTTATGTTTTACTGAGGTTTCATTTAGTCTTTCTTCAGTTATTGAGAGTTTAAAAAAAACAAAGCAAATCTCTCTAAATAAGACATTCCAATTGTTTTAGTATTTTTTATTTTAGTTATTTAAATTGAAGCTTTCTGTAATCACGCCAAATGGGAACGTTGTAATGTTGTAATTTCATAGATGGTTAAATATGCATTTTTATGGAACGGCAGTTTACTGAAGTTTTATCTATTCTGAGCCTGTTGTTCAGAATAAACTTGGGTTTATGGGTGTTTCTTTGGTCAAGGACGGACTTAAATAGCTCTCAATAGCTTTAATTAAGGTATAGCGGGTTGGTTTTGGGTCATTCTTTTAGTCTGTTTGATTTTTGGATGTTATGGTGTTGATAAATCATCTCAGTGAGAGGCGAGGTTGCACTGTATGATCTGCCCACTGGTCTAACTATCCCTCTGGATTTACTTGTCCAGTTCCTGGGAGGTACCATGATCATCATCATCGGAGGGATCATCGTTGCCTCTGTCCTTGTCTTCATCTTCATCCTCCTGATGAAGTACAAGCTGCACAGTAACCACTACAAGCAGAAAGCCGCCGCGCGCCACGCCAACGTCTGCTCCCAGACCAACGGAGGGGGGGGAGGAGGAGGAGCCAACGCCCTGCCACCATCCTCCTCCTCGGCAGGCCAGGGTAAGTGGAGGACAAACGGGAGGGGAGGGGAAACCAAATATGTGACTGGTCTTAACGATGCCCCTCCTTCTCTTCGTCCTCTAGGTGGAGGCACTAATAAAAACTCCCAACCATCATCGTCCACAGAGGGGATGGGAGGAGCTTCGCTTCGAGGGACGACCGTAGTAGACTTAAATCCCACCCACGACGATGACGTCATCTCCCAATAACACACAAGATTCTGTCAGTCAAAAACACAACTCACCAATCTCTGAGCCCAAACCAATACTCCATCGCCCCGCCCACTTTTTCTTTTCTTCTTTTTGTTGGCGTCTCAAGCCGAACTCCGCTTAACGCCGAGGAGACACTCTTTTCATTGGTGAGTAGCTGCTTGCGGGCGAGTACGAGGTGGGGGAAGGGAGGATGACCAGTGATATTCAACAGCAGCAGAATATCAGCACCTGTAGGGTCAGGTGATGTGGTCCGGCCCACTGTTCTGGTCATCAGCGTGTGCTCGCAGACACTTAACAAGCACCTTGCAATTTTTTTTTGATGCTGCTGCTGCCATTAGTAATGAATTCAGTTAAATAGGGTACACAGCAGTGCAGAGAGCGAGAACGCGAGAGGGAGAGTTTCATTTGAAGTTTGTTTGAAATTGAAATCTGAAGCAGACGGGCACTGAGAGAGGAAGGGACAGAGAGGGTCGGCAGTGGGCAGCTTCAGTAAACCATGCGCACAAAGTTCATTGAACCTGCGCCGCTGAGAGCCGTCTGATCATTCCTCCATCAGAAAAACACGCTTTAATGAACAGTCCCTCACCCGGCGCGCACACACACACACACACACAGTCTGTGTGGGTGTTGCTGGTACGCAGGTTGAATACAATAGGCACTCACCATTAAATCTATCTATGCATCACACACACAGATGTATCTTGTACCAATCACCTATAGAACTTGTGAGGAATAAATCACCATGACATCGATACCTAGGAGATTAACTCATACCTACATCACAGATAGTAGTCATTGAATCCATTTATTATCCATTATTTAGGAAGTATCTCTACTGGTATTTGCTTCATTAATTTGAATGAAGCGTAGCCACTTGTGCCCAAGTAGTAATACTGTAAATGCCACTAGTTTCTGAGCCATTGTGTTTTTGAATTTCAAAATCATGCCTCCATTTGTATTATTTGTGGTTTGAGACTACAATACTCATGAGCCACCATTGCTGTGAAGAAGCCACTCGTAGACATGAATCGGAGCTTATGAATCCACTGCATTGTTTCAAAAGCTGAAGCCCATTTTGAAGGTGAATTTATCTCATCATCGTCACCATTATCATCACCACAATAGTGCTCAAAGAAGAGCAGGTCTTTTATCATAATCACTCCCAGAGCTGGGCGACCCTGTGGCCTTTTGTTGTTGCCAAAACCATTTACCTCACCTCACGTTATTAACACACGAGAGAAAATTGGGTCACCAGATTGTTTATAATTCTCAGGCCTTGTAAAATCTTTAATCGGACAGTAAGTAGAATGGGGATGATGCTTGTGATTTGACATTAGTAATACTAAGCTGAGTCTCGAGGTAACTTTGGGAATACAACCTCTAACGTAACCAGTAGTGTGAGTAAATTCACAGCTCTGCCCAAACTTGAGTTTCCCTGATTTTTCGGGGAGCACGAGGAGAAGTTCCGTGTAGGAATTTAAATGTTTACTGGGTTGATACTTGAAATCACTTCAAAGCGGGAATGTGACTATTCAGAGTCCCCCTCCCCCATAGACAAACACATTATCTCCACTACTTCTTCTGCCTCCTTGTTTTGATGCATTCCTTCTCTTCTTCTTTCATAACTCACCTCAAAGTGGTTTTGTTTGTCTGTTCTGCTCTGCCACGGCTCTTCTCTTTATCTTCTGATACTTTGTAAATGGTGAGGTGTACAAATAACTCAAAGCTCTGGAGAACTTTCTTCCCCGTTCACACAATCGATGAGCTGTTTATCTTTCCTTTATCTCTGTTAATTGTTTTGTCCAATGTGGCGCTGTCGGATCCCCTCCTGTTGAAGTGAACAGGCAAGACGGGTCCTTTGTGCCTGTGGTTCCGATGTGGCCTGTGCGAGCTGACGAAGGGGTTTTAAAGCCGTCTTTGGTTCTATTCTTCTCTTTACTGGCCTGCCTCGTTTCCAGTGCATTGTAACATCAACCTTGCCTGCTGTTTAAAATGATGTTGACACTTGTATGCCGTTCCACGTCTTCTTAATGATCTTCTTCTTGTGAGCTCAATGATGAGAGAGATCTCGGCTCGCATGTGATCCGCTCTCTCCTGCGCAGCGTCCTTGTGCTTGTTACCAGCTGTGCTTATTAATACCCAGATGATGTACAGTCAGGGCTGGGCAGTATGGCCCAACAATTCGGATCACAGTATTTTGTAAGATTCCGACGTGATGATTCTCAGCAGAAAACCGATAGATTGCCTAGAGAATTTGTCCTTACCCCAAGTGAAGGAGTTGAAGTACCTCGGTGTCGAGAGTGAGGGGTAAGATGGAGTGTGAGTTTGGCCGGAGAATTGGAGCATCTGGGGCTGTACTGCACTCGCTTTACCGCACCGTTGTGCACACCGAAAAACAGATCCTGAAGGCAAAGCTTTCAATCTACCGGTCAGTCTTGGTTTCTACCCTAACCCTATGGTCATGAAGGATGGATCCTGACCAAACGAACCATGTCACTGGTACAAACGTCCAACAGGGGTTTCCTTGAGAGGGTGGCTGGCCTTTCCCTTAGAGATAGAGTGAGATGCTCAGGCATCCGTGAGGAGCTTTGAATAGAGCCGCTGCTTCTTTGCGTTGAAAGGAGTCAGTTGAGGTGGTTTGGGCATCTGGTAAGGATGCCACCTGGGCGCCTCCCTAAGGAGGTACAGACAGCTGGGAAGAGGCCCCAGGGAAGACCGAGGACTAGGTGTAGATTATATTTCCACACTGGCGTGGGAATGCCTTGGGATCCCCCAGTCAGAGCTGGTAGGTGTGGCCTGGGAAAGGCAAGTTTGGGGTCCCCTGCTGGAACTGTTACCCCCGCCACTCGACCCCTGACAAGAGGTTGAAGATGAGATGTACAGTTAGGGTCGGGCAATATGGCCAAAAATTAATATCACAGGATTTTTTAAGATTTTGACAGTATCCTGGTATATATCACAAAGCTCTTATGCACCCCATTGCTGAGAAGAAGAGAGATCGTGCTGTGTTCTATGGACGGTCCCTCACCCCATCTACTCCTGCTCTGCCATGGCATGGGTCGAATGGAGCAAGATGGAAATGTCCCATAATGATGGTCATGTGTGAATTGTAAAAAAACAAAAACATATTGTCCCACCTTTCCTACCAATGAAAAACAAAGTTTGTTGTGGATGTGTAACAGATGTGTTTAGGGCATGGAAGTAGTCGACTCAGGTACTGATCTTTTCATCATTTATTTGCTACTGCAGAAGACAATAAAACACAGACATGGCCTTCTGGTCTCCGCACATCAGCTCCCTACACACAGGGTCTTCAACAGAGAAACGCTACTGTGAAGGAAAAACGGGACTACCGCAAAATCTAAATTATAGCTTGTCAAAGATCCAAATTGTGACAAAAAGGGGAGAACAACCCCAAGTGAACAAAATAAATAACAGTGACAACTGCAAAAATTCAGCATTAAAACAAAAGAAAACACATACCTGCAGAAGACAATAAAACACAGACGTTGCCTTCTGGTCTCCGCACATCAGCTCCCTACACACAGGGTCTATAGCGAGTACAAACGGCGCGAAATTAAACAATGACCAAACGTATACTTTTATCACCACTCCATCGTCTAGAATAATGACGCACCACAGCCGAGAACACACAACCGTGGTGTTACCCACACTAATGGTAGCTGATGTTAACAGTTATATTTAAGAACATAGCGAAATAGTGCGACATCGTTTTTCTCTCAACTTACCTTCAACAGAGTAACGCTACTGTGAAGGAAAAACGGGACTACGGAAGCCTAGGAGGCGCAGGAGAGATGAATCGCAATTTCCGCAAATTTGACTCATCAAAATAAAATTCACACACACGCTCAACAAGATTGTTGAATAATAACCAAAAATAAGATACAATACATTGAAAATGACAGTGTATTTCTAACTCCGTTACAGATGCACACACGCACACACAAACGCACATGCAGAACTACACTTTTTCTTCTAATGGAAACAATCTCAGCAGCCCCCGCTGGCTTTAGACTGTTTCTGTGGGTTTGACATCTACCATGAGCACAGACACACAAACCTGCTTTCTGTCCAACACATGAACTGAGAGAGATTGTTGGTCATTATGACTCACTGCTCCTCAAAATGCTGCGAGTATCCTCTCCTAGTAGACACACACATACACACAACAAGGTTGGCCGGTTCTTTTTGAAACCTGTTTGTGACGCACGTCTCCCATATAGGGGGAAAAAACAGAACCACTTACAACAAGAATATCCTGTACTCATCACGAACAAATATTAGAATCTTGTCTACAATCTTCACTTTGAAAATGCTCCGAACACAACTGCAGCAAGTTGGTAAATATGTTATGCAAATTTGTCCAGATAATTGGTACACGGTGGTGCATCTTTGTTTTTTTTATTGAAGCTAGAAGCTAGAAGGTCTTGAGCGTCATTTTACGCAGGGGTTTTCCGTTGTCCTGACAGAAACAATAATTGTGTCAGGATGCGGTGAAGGCAGGACTCAAACGCAGACTTTCAAAAAACAAAAAGACTTTAATAGGCAAAATCCAAAAGGGGCCAAGGTGCAAAAATACAGACGGGAACCAGGAACATCCAAAACATTCAACAATGACGCGACAAGTGACAAGAGACACTAGGGAGGTGCAGGTGATTGGACACAGGTGGAAACAATCAGACAATCACAGGGGATGACAGGACAAGGCAGGAAGTGAAGTTACCCAGAAAACTACAAAATAAGACATGAAACAAACCCAAACCGTGACAAATTGTCCAGATAGACAAAGTAGTTTCAGAGTTAATACACTTTTTATCATGGTATGTAGAGGCCACAAAAACGGGCTTGGTCGCAAAGAGGTATGGTCAAACCAAAAACTTAGTTCATGGTAAATAATGCTGATATAGGCAACAAGTATCTTATTACCTTCCTCACCATTAGTCCGTTGAAGAGAACTGGATACATAGCATCAGTCGCTCAGTGGCGCAAAAGAGTTCAACCTGTGGGTATAGAATGCCTCGCCGGCAATAGGCCCATCGAGCGGGAACACTCGCGTTCCCTCTTGTGTAAGGAAGTAACTCAACAATCTGTCATTTGTGAATTTCAGAACTTTTACATGAAGGCT